CATGATCTATTGGATCTACGAATTTATGGGTGAACAAAATGTTGGACCAAACAATACCACAAAATACCACCCTGGTACGGGGTGGTATCTTGTGGTACACAGTGTTAAAATTCGTAAATGACAGTTAATATACTTTTACTATTATATATTCAACCATCCTACAGTCTATGCTGGCATGGTTGAACTAGTTGATTCTGTTTTGTATAGCATGTCACAGTATTGGATGAGTGTTTTTATGTTCCCCAAAACAGTTGTTCGAGAAGTTGAAAGAATTTGCACTAACTTTCTCTGGTCTGTTGGACCTAGGCTGAAGCTCAAAGCGAAAATGGCATGGAAGTACCTGTGTATATTCCCAAAAAGGAAGGTGGTCTTGGACTACAGGATCTTACTACCTGGAACTATGCCTGTGTGTTTAGGCAGATTTGGGCGATTATGTTGGAGCATGGCTCTCTGTGGGTAGCTTGGATTCAAGTTTACAAGCTAAAATGGAGGGACTTTTGGACTGTGAATGTGGACGGATCCTGGAATTGGAAGAAATTGTAACGACTTCGAGGTAAGATCCCTAATATATTTAGCTTGAACAACGGCGTGCTTCATTGGAATAATACTGTTATGCCAAGGTATTCCATAAAGACGGTGTGGGAAGTTTTAAGGCCAAAGCAAAGGGTAGTCAGGTGGTATAAAATACTCTGGATAGGGACCTCGATCCCTAGAAATAGATTTCTTGTATGGCTTATCATCCTCAATAAGATACAAACTAAAGATATGATGAAAAAATGGGGGTTTGCTGGAATGGATCAATGTTACTTATGTGATCAACCTGATGAGACAAGAGATCATCTTTTCTCGACCTATTTGTTCTATGCTTCTTCCCACTAGCAGTTGTTTGGTCACTTTAGTTATTTTCTTCTACGAACCTGGGAGGAAAATCTTCACTGGGCTACCAGGAAGTTCGGTGCTAAGACGCCTTGTGCTATGGTGGGTCGTTTGATTTGGCAATCACTAGTGAGCCATATTTGGAGGGAACGTTGTCAAAGAGCTTTTGGTGAGAACAGTAAGTCTATTGATGCTTTGGTTTCTCAAGTAAAGAATGAGGTAAAGGTGCTGATGCAGGATCCCCTAGAACTTGAACGGTATTGGTCTGCTGGTTCTTAGGAATCTGGTCTCTTACCCGAGATTTTTGCTCTCTTTTTGTTTTGATTTGGTAGCTTTCTGTTTCTGGTTCCTTCCTTGAGAATTTTTCTTTGTTTTACTCAGGCAATGCAGTCAAAATCGCGCATTAAAACGTAAAAACTTACATTTTTACGTATCCAAAACGTTTCAGTTTCTACCTAAAGTCGCTTAGTCACAAAACTGGTAAAAACATGGGTAAAATCGGTAAAATCGCTTAAAATCGATAAAATTGACATTCTGAAGCGTTTGTATACGATTTTAATCATCTCATAAAAATGTGCTAATTGGCCCAAAATGATGTAATTTTGGAGTCATATCAGCAAAAAAAAAAAAAAGGAAAACATGATTCATCACTCGTTCTAGAACTAGTGTCGAGATAGGGGCTTCACATTAGGTTGAAAAGACACCTAATGGTATTCTCAACAGACACTGACCTTCTATCAGTCTACTCCCTTAATCTTCACCTGTGGCTCTTACCTGGGTTACAATAAAAGTTTATGGGTAATTGATCATATGTAATTATGTAAACTCAAACCAGCTTATGAGAATTTGGATTAAGCTCGTTTACGGTTTACGATCTACGTTTATGAGCTTATTATTAAGATGTTATGAGTTTTCTCTACGTTTGAGTCAACACAAATTAGTTTATGTGTTAGATATTACATTTTAATTATGAATTTTATGTAGTTATTCACTTGTCTAAAATCTACACACTCACATTTTACATACTATATGTTGTACTTAATATATTTTAGCTATTTTAGAGGGTGCGTCAAAAGCTTATGATTTTACGCTTTGATTCTATGTTTTACGATTTTACCCATTTTTCGCTTCTAGGTAGAATCGCGCTTTTAATTGCATTGTACTCAGGTAGTCTGGATAGTTCCCTATACTGTATCCATGTTTCATTCCTAGTTGGCAAGGATGTTGCCAACAACGTCTTTTTGATGAAATAATAGTATACCGATTCAACAAAAAAAATAGTTAGTTTGGAGGATTTTGGTGTTTGTATATTATTGATGTAATTTCAATTTATAATATTGCTTGTATTTCTCAAATTTTATTTGAGATTTAATTGTGCTTTATGAATATGTGTTACATATGAAATTCATGGATTGAAAATAAAATTGGAAAATAAAATTATATGCCTCCACATATACTCAATAACGATGAAGAAAAAGGATTCGAAAGGTTATTCATACATAATGATAATGTAAGATTCATATCACAAGCAAATTATTCCTCTCTATAAAAAATATTAGAAATAAAAATGTATACCTCCAAAAGTTTATTAGAGGCATAAGTGTCAGCCTCAATATAATTTTAGAGGAAAAATAATTTGCCTCTATATATATCATTAGAGAAAGATGATAATGTTTTAGAAGTTATATTTTAAGAAGCATATAATTATCTCTAAAATCAATTTTGGAAACAAAACTATCTGTGTCCACAAAAAAATTTGGAGACTAATATTTATGTCGTTAACTTTTGATATGGAGGCAAAATTATAGCCATAAAAAATATATATTAGAGGCTAAAATATTAGTTGCTATAACTCTAATCAACAATGAATAATATTTGTCTCCATATCTGTCTCTATAGAGCTATAGTGACAGCGTTACAAGAGACAAATGATTAATAATTTGCATCTAAAATAATTCAGAGACAAATGAATAATATTTCTCTCCATATCTGTCTCTATAGAGCTACAGTGATAGCGTTACAGGAGACAAATGATTAATAATTTGCATCTAAAATAATTCAGAAGGCAAATAAGTGACTTATAGATGCACATATTCTTTGTTTCCATAGCCATATTTTCTTGTAGTGTTCTCTCCTCATTCCTCGGCATGTTAACAAGTTGTACGAAGTTGCTTGGTTGTTATTGAATGTTTTGTGAGGATAAAATTAAACCACTGAATCTTGGGTATTTCTCATTCATTTTTTGGTTTAAATAGGAAAATCTTCGAAATACAAGACAAGGTGTGCAAGCTTTTATTTAGAGAATTACAAAGATAAAAACATAACTTAAACAATAAAATCTAAAATCGAACATTGGCAATAAAATAAACTTGATGATGATAATTTTCTTTAGACGACGTCGATCCACTTTGTTGCCCCTATCGCGGTCGTGGGTTTGAGTCTTGAACTCCCCCCCCCCCCCCACCAGTTCATCCCAACAAGTGTCAAATCCATTGGCCTGCTCCTTTGGAGGACTATGATCAGGTAGAGATATTGTCGGCAACCATGGTGGAGATTGGGGGAGGGGACGGAGGGTTGGACGGAAAATTGGGATATTGAGGAGAGAAGCTTTATTGCATTTTATTTTTCTTTACTAACTATTTTTTTTAAATAATAGTTATATAAATTAATATTTATTTATGTGGCACAGTCAAATGGTTGATTTTTTGCCACATCATCAATCGACATGCAACTCATCACCATATTAGAGTCAATTAACGGTTGATTGGACGTAAAGTTGATAGTTTGACTATTGAATTGTTTTTGAAAAGATTTGACTATTATTTTGTTTAAAATGAAAGATTTGTCTATTATATTGTATTTATCCTTACTGTTAAGTACAAACGTTGGAGGAAGCGATGCAAGCTCAAACTGCTGCTCTTGAGGTAAATGGTACATGGTCATTGGCTGGGCCACCTTCTGATAAATTAATCGTGGATTTGAAGTGAGATTTAAGGTAAAATACAAGCCCAATGAGTCAGTCGAATGTTACAAGGTTTGTCTCATAGGTAAGGATTTTACTCTAGTCGAAGGTATTTATTATTGCGATACCTTCGCTCTTGTGGTCAAATTGGCAATTGTTTGTTGTTTATTCGCGATCGCAGTTAGTGAGAACTGATTTCTTCAATAACTTGATGTGAACAATGCATTTCTCCATGAATAACTTCGAGAGAAACTTCACATGCAGGCTCTTTTAGGCTTTTCTGGACCTGGAGATTCTTGCATTTTCCACATCGTAAATATATTTTTGGTCCTTGTCAGACATCTTGAAACCGGTATCATTTGACCAAAGGCTTGATTGACTGAAGATTGGTTTCAAGGACTTCTTACCAAGCTCAACATGCTATACCCACGCTTTCGCTTGAAGTGGCCAGAAGTCTCCTACACGTCGACGTTTAGCTGTTGTCCAACTGTCAATAAGTGTGAATTTTGCATTGTTTCTTTGTCCTGGAAGTAATCAATGTCCTATCTCCTTAGGGTTTGACAACCCAATCTTGTTTATAATTTTTAGTTGCAGGTCATTGTTGGCAGCTAGATATTCAGTCATTGAATAGTAATCATGTTCACATCGAACATCGATACCACGTACAATTACCATGTTGTGTTATTGTTATTCCTTTCGTGTTGTCGTTTTTTCACACGGAGAATGGATCCAACGGTATATATGAACCGTAGCGAAATTTGTGCAGTTCTAACATTCTCTGGAAACCTTTTCTGGCAAGTAAATGTGTATTAGGTGTTTGGAATGTTACCTTATTACTGGCCTACTCACGTTGTAGTGGAAGATTACTGATTATCAACGTAACAAAGACAACTTCAACACATTTTAATGATATATATGGAGAATAAGATCCCATCTTATTGTTAATTTTATTTCCGTTCAAAGAAAAAATATAACATAAGTATAGTATTGACTAGGTCCATTATTTGTATTATTAATTAAAATTGTCCCATGCTTTTTAAATAAAAATGAAAATTTTAGAGTACTTGTAGTTGGATGCGAAACGGGAAATAGCTGGCCGCAGTAACGTACAGTTGTTCAAGTACAGAGTTTGCAGGTCCTCTTCGGATAACACATGATTACATCACCTGCAAGTCGGAATCGCGAATAAAGGTTTGGCCTTTTGTAAAGTTAATCCAAACTTTTCTTCCATGTCCAGTGTCTCAAGCTTCAACCCATCCGGCAACTTCCAGTTAAATCCATGGACCAACGAGCCCAACATCATATGCAACATCCTCAATGCCAACGATTGCCCGGGGCAGGTTCTTCTTCCAGCACCAAAAGGAAGCAGCTCAAAATTGTTGCCCTTAACATCAACCTTCGAACCCAAGAATCTTTCTGGCACGAATGATTTCGGATCATCCCATGTCGTGGAGTCTCGACCTATAGCCCATACATTGACTAGAATTTGGGCACCTTTGGGGATAGTAAAGCCGTGAATTTCCACATCTGCTGTTGCCTTGCGGGGAAGTAGAAGAGGAGTTGTTGGGTGTAGCCTGAATGTTTCTTTCACTATTGCTTGTAGATATGGTAAACGAGGGATATCTGATTCACGAAGCTGAATGTCTTTTCCAATAATTTGGTCTAATTCTTTCTTTGCCTTAGCCAGTGTACTGGAATTGCGGAGGAGCTCCGTCATTGCCCATTCTAGTGTGCTAGTAGTTGTATCAGTACCAGCTACGAACAAATCCTAATTGATTGAACCACGCGATTAGTGCTTGGGTAAACAAAGGAGATTAGGGTTGATCAAGAGTTAATTAGTCTCACCAAGAACAAGTATTTGATGCATAGTGGATCCATCGTAGCAGCAGCCTCCTCGTGCTTGCTGTCATGATCAGTGTCTCCCATGGCGAGAAGCGTGTCGAGCATGTCGTTGGTCGAGACGTAGCTCTCCGACTTCAAATCGCGCCGCCTTTCGTCGATCACCCATCCAAACCAATTCAAAATCTTCCTTAAATGACCCTCGGAACGCCTCTGTATCCCTTGCAGGTCCAGCCTCGCCACTACGGGGAAATAGTCTCCCAAGTTGGGCTTCCCAATCTCACCCAACAGCTCCCTCACCAGCTCCTTGAACTCCCTGGCGGTCCCCGATGACTTCTCCTCCTCCTCCTCCTCCTCCGCCAGATCCATCGAAAGAATGGTCGATGATAGAGCATTCAGACTAGCCTTGAACGCCGCCTTCCCGACATCCAACGCTTCTCCGGGCCTTTCGGCGGCATGACGCCGGACTCCTTCGAGGAGGCCCAGAACCTTGACCCTCCTGATGTCCTGGTTCATGTCCAGCCTCTGGGTGGTGAAGATGTACGAGTTGCACACTTTCCTGAGGTTCCTCCACCTGGAGCCCACGGGAAGCGCCGGGATGGTGAATTTGTGGATGTCGAGGACTTGGGCGGCGGCGGGGACGTGGCGGTCGGAGAGGACCTTGTCGTGTTTTTGGAGAATCTCCCTGGCGGTGTCTGGGGAGGAAGCGACGATGGTGGTGACTCGGCCCAGCTGGAGGCTCATCAAGGGCCCGTGGATCTTGGCGAGCTGGGCCAGTGATTGGTGAGGCTTGTCGCCCAGCATGTGGAGGTTGCCGATTATTGGAAGTCGGGAGGGGCCCGGCGGGAGTTTGGCCGCCGGAGTGTTTCTTGTCAGGAGTCGGAGGAAGGTGAGGGTCAAGATGAGGCAGAGGAAGCAGCTGAGGAGGAGAAGTAACAACTCCATTGTGAAAAGAAAGGGAAGCAAGAGCTCTGTAGACTGAGGAGTGGGAATTAAGTGAAGTATGTACGTAGATTATTTATAGGGATTTAGTGTGGCGAATTGTTTTATTTATTGAAGCTTGCATGTCTGCATGCATAATAAGGGTATATAATAATTCGACAAGAAACAAAATGAAGTGTTTAGTGAGATGACGTTTCAGTTATGCTCTTCCCTGTCCTTGTATAAAGAATGGACCATTTTGGCGTCTTGTGATTGCCTTTGCTCACTTTTCTACCGTAGATGCTGTGCAGGAACTCTGTCGTATTAGGTGTAACCTTCGATGCCGTTTCTTGAGTTCCTTGTCGTCTGAGCTGTTTGGAATTTTACCTTTTTTTGTAGTTGCAATATAATGCTCGAGAGTCGAGACTCTTCTTAATTCGTATCCTACATACAGACATCAGTCCTTTTGGGACAGCTTGCCCTAACCTTACTTCCAAACCACACATAGCGACGACAAGGGGAAAAAAAAGGAATGTCACATCAAGAACGGATGAATTGCATCTACATGTAGCTATTTTTTTTATGTTTTTTTTATAACCCAGGAATATTAATCCCACGTGCCACTTTGTACATGATACAATATCGTGGGACTTCGTCCCCGGCACTCAGAGGTGCCTCCGGGAACACACAAGTGGCGCCGCTGGTGATCGAACTCAGGACCTCTCAATTATTGAGCCGACCAGGCCAGCGGTTTCACCAGCTAGACTATATTACCTTTGGCCTATTTTTTTTATGTGGAATGACAGTATTTCAGTTAACTCACTTAGTTATACCCTATAAAATTATATCTATTTTAATTTGAAATAATAATATGTGTGTTTGGGGATCAACGAAAATATATCACGATGTTATGATATGGTGGTAGAATAATGAGTGAAATGAGGTTTGGGTAATTTTGTTTCTCGGATAAATTGATCACATTTTTTAAAGTGCGATAGACAAGTGTACATATCGTTAATAGTAAGTTAACATACAAGAAAGATCGTATTCCCACAGAGACTATGAACTAATAGTAATGAGTTAGGTTGCTTATTATTTAACCGATATATCAATCCTTTTAGTTAACTAACTAACAAAAGCAATGAAATTTTGCGCATGCAATTAGCATAACTAAGGCAAGTTCAAGGGAAAGTGTTGTCCAGACTTTAAATCCCCCTAGCCAACTTATACTTCTTCAATTGAATGCACACAAACTCGATGCCATCTTATTTTACCGTAGCGATTCAAAAATTGGTATTAACCTGATCTTCTCGTGTATTAACACCCTATTAGACAATTCAATCTAGATAAGATATTTTCTTTGACCTAAATCCAACCTCCTAACGATGAATGATCTATGAATCCCTCTCCTTTCATCTCCTAGCAGTTCAAAATCCTTTTCATTTAAGAGCGTTCTATCGTACATATGGGGATCTTGTCCTCAACATACATATGAAACAATCAAGCATGTAATAGGCGCGAAACTATCGAATACTTGTAATCTAAATAAAATATTATTAATATCCATATCCATAACATTTAATCAAATTAGTATCATTGACCTACGGTTCATCTAGTTTAAACAACGGAGAGGAATTAGTTCATGGAGAATAGAGAAATGAACAAAGGAGAGAAAGAAGAACAAATTTCCATGGAGGAAGGTGTGATATGTTGCTCCAAGATGACTCCGCTAGTGTAGAACAAATTACCAAGATTACTCATTAGAATAAAAAAGGGAACAATCACTTATGGATTTTGATCCTTGATGACAAACATCTAATAATCCATGGCGGGTGGGTGTGGGAAACCTGATCGTATAAATTTTTTTTTTTTTTTTATGGGCAACCTGACCTGATCGTATAAATAAGTCTGATTATATTGTAACCTGAACTATTTACACAACGAACTAGCTTGCTTTCCATGTACGAGAGATGCTTAAACGCCACCCCCACGCCCCTTATGATTGGGTTTTATTCGTTTTTAATAGGAAAACCGAATCCCAAGCCCAACAAACCCAATTTTGCAATCCCACCCATGTCCATCCCAAAACCCCAACCCGCGACCCTAAATTGGATTATGCGGACTGTTTGATTCACTTTGATTAAATCCGTTTAAGATCCAGTCCAGTTTCCGATTCCTATTTTTGCTAAGAATTGAAAATCGAAAACTTTAATTCAATTCGATTTAACTGGATTGCACCGTTTCCCAACCCTATTGACTGAGCTATGTTTTTTATATTCGCTTTTTGGTTAACAGGAAATAGAAGAAAAGCAAACGTAACATTAGGGCTGTCAATTTGGTTGGGTTTGGTTAACCAAACCATTAAGTATGAAAAACCTAAAACCAAAAATTAAATCTAAAAAACCAACACCATTAAGGTCCTTATTAGTTTTTGGCAACCAAAAACCAATAAGGGCCTTAATGGTTTTGGTTTGGATAACTGAAAAACCAACATGTAATCATACACATATTTATTTCTATTTCTCTTCTTTTTATTGAATAAACGTCATAATAATGGTAATGGCCATAACAAATTATTGGTTGGCATGCGTGTCAAAAGAAAAAAAAATATTTGTTGATAAATAATTTTATTTTTATTGGTTTCTTAATGGTTTCTATTGGTTTTTCGGTTTTAACCAAGCCAAAACCATTAAGTTGCTTATTGGTTTAAAACCAAAAAACTAAAACCATTAGCTTTCCAATTGATTTGGTTTCGGTTAAAACCAAAACCAAATGGACAACCCTAAGTAACATCTAATATTCTTTGGCTGCCAGCCAACGTTTCTTTTATTCCTTTTATTTAACACGACATAGAAGAAATGCAGTGGTGTCCCAATGGCCAATACCACTGTCTACTCGTGATGTTGTTTTCCCTCCTCAATATGCCCAATTATTCGATCGGCGGAGAAAGGCTACAAAATTTTATCATATCTATGAAGTAGACGTCCCATCGCAGTTCAAATGTTAAGCTAGCTGTGTACATACCAACAAAACTGTGGTCAATAGATACCGAGTTATAACCGATAATCTGAGCAGCAACTTCAGGCACTGAATACTACTGATGTTGTTCTCCCTCCTCAATATGCCCACATCATCCATGGGGACAAAGAAGGAGACCACATATATCCAGCCGAATTTTTTTATTTATTTTATTTCCGTCTGAGAGTGACAGCCATTGATTTTTTTTATTAAGTGCAACTAAACGAATTCGAACCCCATCCTACTATTGTCATGCAGGGGTGGGTCGAGCAGATTTTGATCATAAAACGCATCCACTCGCGTTTAAACGGATTGATAATTTTTAACCCACCACATACCCACATTTACTCTCAGGTTGGGTCAGACGGATGGTGGATGATGCGGGTGGGTTTGCGGGTTCACCCACATCACAATGTATATAATATTAAGGAGTCAACTTGACATGATAATCTGTGGAGAGAGTTATCGGCCAGAAACAAGAATAGGGAATAGGGAAAAACATGTCGAATTAGTTCTTAAATTGGGTAGAAATTCTATTAAGGGGAAGTTTTCTACCGATGGAGATGATTATCAAGTCCAGGGAACTAAGAAAAATAATTCAACTGAGGAAAAAGAGGTGATCTACGCACAAGAATCAGAGGTAAAAATAAAGGGAAGAAGAGGGGATCGTGAATTTGAAGGTTTGCTTTGAGGTTCAATCTCCACGACCTGCCCTAGTTTTCGTCTAACGTCTTCACTCTCCCCTTTCGAGCGCCGACGACTTTGTTCTTTTTGCTGTTGGGTTGAGCGGGTCACCCGCACACACGCCCACAACCCACCCACCACCCGATGGATGACTCCCAATGCAACCCGTCACCCACCCACAAATCCACCAACATAATAAAATTCGGGTCAAATGCGGATGGGATGGCCCAAACCTGTGGGTGATCCGCCCGCATGCCCAGCCCTATTGTCATGTATTATGATATTACCATGGTAACATCATGATATGACAATGGTATGGTGATGTTGCATTCTTACCATTCTGGTAAGATAATGATATGACAGTGATGAGATCATGTTATGAAGTCTTACCATAGTTGTATGATATTGGTACGATAATGGTAAGATAGTATATATGAAGTCTTAGCTTTAAGCAAAAATTCATGATGTAACCATACCACTGTCACATATATACATGGGAGGCTAATAGACAACTCTATATCTTGTTTATGAAAGATTTTGTACCTTATCCACTCATATATTATCATTATTTTTAATTAATTAATGGGCAATTCTACTAGGTACACTCTAATTTGAAATGTGTTTGGGTTAGAACTATATTTTTATCATTAAATTTCAAAATTTTACCGCCAAACATCAGTTTTGATAATTCATGTGGATACTGTACTACTAATCAACCATGATAAGAGCCGAATCAACAAACACACATTTTTACTCGCATAGAACTTTTCATAATGATCGTAGTTAGATGAATTTATAAGGTTGTATCAAGTAAGTAGTGGAGCTAATGGGTGCGATTTTTTTATTAGTCCTTAAGCAAAATAATGTTTATCAATAATTGAATCGGTAACTTTTATAATTTAAATACATGTTATCAATTCGGTTAGCGGTTTATCTAAACACCAACTGGGGGGACTGAAATGTAAATAATAAATTGGAATTTATGAAATTGTGAATCAATGAGTTTGGACAAAGAGGCGGGCCTACCAGGAATCCAATACACAGCAGACACAGTTCACCATTTGATACCCAAACTCAGCTCATCCATCGGCCGCCCGTCTTCAGGTTGAAGGGAATGTCACTATCCACCATCACAAACAAATCTAACTCCGTCTCTCATGTCCCTTTATTACCCCCATCAATTTCATCGGAAAATGCAGCCACGCACCGACTTCTGCTACTTCTTTTTTTCTTTTTTTCTTTTTCTGTACAGTTTTTGCTTCTTCTTTCTTTTTCTTCCCTTACTGCACGAGCACGACAATGGCCACCAAAGCGGCTCTTCTCCACAAACCCACCTCGAAAATCTCCATCCCCCGTCCGTACCAGACCAATCCCTTCAAACCCAGTTCCCATATTCGTGTTTATACTCGGAAATTGGCCGGATTTCGTGGAACTGCGACGAGGGGGATTACTGGACTTTCGTCGAACACCATGCCTGCAGAGTCATTGAAGTCTCCTGGAACTAGCATGCGGAGTAACGACTACAGAATGGGAGCGCGTGACCGGGAAGCTTTTGTGAAGGAGTCACCCTATGGACTGGAAGCCGCCCTCAACAGTGTGGTGTGTTTCCTCCTTCTCTGTCACCTCTAATTATCTGCCGATTCCAATTCAGGGCTTTGTGCTAAAAGAGGTTCCCCGCGCATTTTATTTTTATTTGGATGGTGGCAGAGCAAATGGTTAGTGTCTGCAGCTTTCGGTGCTTTCTTCGTGTGGAGGCATCACAACGCAGACGTGCTGTGGGTGGCCACTGGTGCTGTGGTTAGCTGTGTCCTGTCAGTTGCACTTAAGCGGATTCTGAAGCAGGAGAGGCCACTTGCTACAACCAGATCTGACCCTGGAATGCCTTCTTCACACGCTCAATACATATTTTACGTTCTTACTTTCGGCGTTCTCGCAAGTAAGTAAATCTGCTGCTCTTCTCCTTAGCTGGTTGGGTCGTACTTCTTTCATCCAAAATTCCTATAATTAATATAATTCGGCTCTGAGTTCCGTGTTGCTTTCAGCTGTTGAATGGCTAGGAGTAAATGCTGTTTCAGTCATCCTCAGTGCATTACTTTTGGCATGTGCCTCCTATTTCGTAAGTACAATCTTCCTATAGCTTCAGCGGACTTGAGGGTTGATATGGTGCAACCTCGAACTTGGGATCTGGAGAGAAATTGATCGTCTGCGATCCTGTAACATTTTAAATATGAACTCAGATGGTTTAAATTTACATTATAAATATTTTATAACTCCGTGTGAAGGATGCGTAACACCTAATGTGGTATTGTTTCCAATGGCAGTCATGGCTAAGAGTATCGCAGAAACTGCACACAGGGAGCCAGGTTGTGGTTGGAGCAGCAGTGGGTACAGGTTTCTCAGCACTGTGGTGTTGGCTATGGAATCAATTTGTGTTGCGGGCTTTCATTTCGTCTGCATGGGTTCGGGTTGTGGTTGTTTTGGGCACTCTTACATTCTGGGGATGCGTCATGTACTCCTCGGGTCTGCTGAAAATCAATAGTCCATGGATCTAATTCGAACTCAAGAGAGATTTTTTGAAGTAACTGCACGAAGAGGGTTCTTCATAAGAAACAAAAAAAATATATCCTTGTAATATAGCCGTATACTATCCGTATACTTATTAAATATACCACTACAACTATGGTTCTCTTAGTATGGTAGAATCATCTTATTTTACCCTATTTATTTGGTGCTTCATTTATTAAATATGTGTAGCATATTTGTTTTACATATTTTAAGAAATTCAATTTGATATAATTTTATATTATATTCACGTTTAGATTATAAATTTATAATAATTTATAGCTCATGCTCTACTTTTAAACGTACTGTTACACACGATCATATATAATTTTTGTTGTACATGTTAATACCATAACATCCCTATACCAATGGATATTTTGGTCTACTGAAAAGTGGATGCAAAAGGGTTTTTAACAATGGGTGACATGATCCGCAGGAGGTGCTATAGAATAATATAAAGGGTAATGTCTATTTATTATCCAAGTATTTTTTAAATTCTTTTATTTTAGTCAAATTTATTGAAATACTAAGAAAGTAAGAATTTGTCAAACGTTTGTAACACGCCAAAGTATTAAATCTTTTATACGTTATCGTTAATAATTTTGTAATTCTTTTTTTTATTTAAAATATTCAAATTTTGGAATGTTGACCTCCATGTGTCTCTTACAAGTCAGTATCATTTTGACAAGTCAATATTATTAACAAAACTGTTAACTAGATGTTAATATTTGGCCAATTATTAGTAATTCAATAGGGTTGGCTAGAAATTTGAATTTGAAAAGGGTTTGTCCAATAAATAGTGACTACCCTAATATAAACTATCTAGCCGCTTGTGTTCCTCCATAATTCATACACTCTCTGTCTAGTAATGCCATAATGGGTGGTAAAAAAATTCTCAAAAATATCATAAATGATTTTTATTTTTTTAATCACAACGGACTCATTTCTTCTATTGTAAAATTTTCAAAATTCAACTTAGAACAAAAAAATTACAATTCGATTAAAAAATTAGGAAAAAAAAATTGTAACCTCGCTCCTTAGATCTCACCCTTACTCGCTAAAATCAACACTCTATTCAGTGGCCAAGTGTAACCACAGAGTCGGGAGTAGTGTAGCGGAATGAAGTTCTGGTGTCAACCGGCAGCCTAGCTAGATGTACTGTTACTCGGTGAACTGTCTATTATCTAGCAACCACGCTGTAATTTTGATTACTTGAGATAAAGTAATAAAGCCGGAAATTTGGTTTGAATTCATATGGAAAAGATCGCATTGGTATGTGGCCCTCAGCTCATAGTTAGGTTAAAGTTGTAATTCCCCTTAGTTTAGTTTATTGATAGTTATAATGTAGTAGGTCCTATATTAGCTAGGAATCTCGACTAAAGCAGAATAAGCCCTTTTAAACAGATTAGCCGACGGGAGATTATCCTCAACCGAACAAAAATACAAAGGCAATGCAAATAGAGGGTACTATTCGAGCAATCGATTCACTACTTTCAATTAAGGATGCTATCTTAACCCAATATGATTTTCTATATCCCAGGTTAAATCAACAATCCAAAGAATTTGACCTAGATTCAATCATTCATGAATAATACCTCAATTGAATATAATCAATCAATTCCCCAATCCAATGGTTCATACAATAATTCTCCTAACACATGGAAATATGGTTATTCATACCCAAGTGAAAGAGAAAATTTCTCTATAGAGAGAGAGTGGAAAACCATGATCGAAATAGTCATGCTCATAAAGATGATGATGATTTGTTTCGGGATTTCAATCTACACTCCGAGGAGTAATATTTGAGCTCCAATGGAGGAATCAAGGCTCAAATCGGCTCAAAGGTATGTTTTTTCATCACTTTCTCGTTCTAGACCTCTGTTTTTTTGTCATATGTAGAATTCCTATAAAAATCCTAAAATTTGCACTTAATCCCTCAGCTGGCATGTGTTTTGTCTCAGCCCTCGTTTTGTCAAAGCTCCGCGTTTCACTTAAGTTCATTCTAAGCAAAACAAAAGCATCTACAAGGTGAAACAAGGTGGAGGTTGCGTTTGGTGTCAGCCCGGGTTTTCTCTCGGCAGTCATTACATATCTTCTTTCCATCTCACAAAGGAAGGAGTAAATTAGTATTTTAATCAAATCTCACACTAATTATTTCCATATTCTTAAACTCATTTTAAACACAGAATTTTGGTCACTAATTTTCATTTAACAATTTTCATATTTTCAGTAACGTGCGGATTTGGCCCAATTCGCATTTTTCACGGGCAAACAACCCCTTGGTGTTTGGAGCATTATCGTTTTTAATAAATGCATTCCCAAACTATTTTCATTCCTAACCTACATACAACCATCAGTCCTTTTGTGGTAGTTTGTGTTGGATGCATTGAGGCTAGATCATCATAGCAGAAGGCAGCAAGAGCAGCAGCAGAAGGCGGGAAGAACAAAAGTTTTGAATAGTTAAAGTGTTGATTTAAGTATGAGACTGTGTCGTTTTGGTTTAGTGTGATTGTGTGCTTGAGTCTGTAAATTGAGTCAATAAGGTCTCTGCGTGGATTGAGTCAAAAGGCAGCAAGTCAGTAGCTTAGCTGTCAAGTTAGTTAGCTTGCTTTAAGGGTCGTGGGATTGATTGTCTGTTAGTGGAAGCCTGGATTGTAGGCTAAAGTTGAGTACTTATTGTTGGTTTGATAGATTGAATAAAGTTTGTTAGTTTACCAACGTATTTGAGACTACATTGGGGTATCAGAGAACAGAGTAAACTGTAACCACGATTGAAATTGAGAGTGATTTGAGTAAAATTGTTTTTGATTCTGGGACAGGGAAACACGAGAGACACGAGGGAGGTATTGTTTCATGGATTGTGAGAGTGAAAACATGAGTGAGAGCAGCAGCTTTGCGCAATTCTGTCTTCCAAAGTTTGATGGACACTATGACCATTGGAGTCTGCTGATGGAGAACCTGCTGAGATAAGGAGTACTGGCCTGTTGTAAGTGATGGTTTCAAGGAACCAGGTCGAGGAGAAGAGTTGTCAGGAGTACATAAGAAGGAGTTGGAAGACAATTGTTTGAGAGACCTAAAAGCAAAAAACTACTTGGTCAGCTCCATTGACAAAACTCAGAAGCAAATCACTCAAAAGAGTATTGCCAAGCAGCTTTGGGACTCAATGAAAGTCAGGTATCAAGGGAGTGAGAGAGTTCAGAAGTCACAGCTTCAAGCCTTGAGAAGAAACTTTGAGATTTTGGCTATGAAAGAAGGTGAGACTGTATCTGCTTACTTTGGAAGAGTCAAGGTTATTGCTAATGATATGAGAAAATATGAGGAAGCAATGCCAGATGTTAAAATAGTTGAGAAAATTTTGAGAACCCTAACTAAAAGATTCAACTACATAGTATGTGCCATAGAAGAATCAAAAGACATAGATACTCTTTCTGTTGAAGCTTTGCAGAGCTCTTGGCTTGTCCATGAGCATAAGTTCACAAGGCAGACTGCAGAAGAGGATCAAGCCCTCAAGGCCCTCAAGGCTACTCATGTTTTTGGAGGAAGGGGAGGCAACAGAGGTGGTGGCAGAAGCTTTTATCATGGTAGAGGAAGAGGAAGAACTCGAGGCTGGAATAGGGATGTTGTGCAGTGTTTTCACGATCACAAGTTGGGGCATTTCAGGAATGAGTGTCCTGACTGGTTCAGTCAGCAAGCAAATTATTCCAAGAGGTAGAGCATGTTGGTTTGATGGATTTTTTGGAAAGTCATCAGTTTGAGAAAAACCAAAGTTGGCGGTTTCTTTACTCAGGCTGCAGCAATCATATGAGTGGAGAACGATAGTGGTTCACCACCATGGATGCTGGTTTTGAGTGCAATGTGAAGTTGGGAAATGGTAACAGATTGAAAGTGGCTAGCAAGGGTTCAGTGAAGTTGCAGGTTGATGGATTTCCTAAGGTTATCGGTGATGTGTTTTATGTGCCTAGTCTGCAGACAAACCTGCTAAGTGTTAGTCAAATTTAGGAGAAAGGTTTGGGGTTTCTCATCAAGGGAGGTGTTTGCAAGATATTTCATGAAGAAAAGGCGGTTTCTGATGTAGACAAGCATGCAATCCAACAGGATGTTTGTGCTAGCTGCAGAACAGGTGCTCAAAGCTCAGAATGAAGATATAATGTGCTTGCAAACTTCTCTATAGATTTGGCATAGGAGATTTGGTCACTTGAATCAAACGAGTTTGTTGGCATCGCAAAGAAAGGGTCTGATTCAGGGCATTTCTCAGTTGCTAGGAGAGCTAGGAGTCTGTGAAGTTTCTCAAGTTGGAAAGCAACACAGGCACAGTTTTCCATAGAAAAGTAGTTGGAGAGCATATCAAAAGCTTCAACTTATTCATGCTGACTTGTGTGGACCTATCACACATGAGTCTAATGGTTGAAAGAGGTATATCCTTACTATTACTGATGATTATAGCAGAAATTTAGGGGCTCATTTTCTGGGTGCAAAATCTGATACACTTGAGGATTTAAGAATTACAAAGCATAGGTTGAGAATGAAACAGGCAGCTCTATTGTGTGCTTAAGAACAAATAGAGGAGGGGAATTCTTGTTGAAAGAATTAAGGAAAGAGTGTGATGAAGCTGGCATTAGGACGCAGCTTACAGCTGCCCTTACTCCCCAACAAAATGGGGTTGCAGAAAGAAAGAACAGAACCATAATGAATATGGTTCGATGCTCTCTTGGTGATACCAGCTTCAACACACACTTTCCTGAATTCTTTCAACAAGAGGCAGTGGCTTGGACAACCTATGTGTTGAATAGAAGTCCTACTGCTGCCAATGGATGCAAAACTCCACAAGAAATCTAGTCTGGCAAGCCACCATCAGTTGAGCATCTGAGGATCTTTGGTTGTGTAGCTTATGCTCACATTCATGACCATCACAGGAAGAAACTTGATGCAAAAAGTGTAAAGTGTAATTTCTGGGGTTATATTCTGAGTCTAAACCCTACAAACTATATAATCCTACAACTAAGAAGGTAATGATTAGTATTTGATGAGGAGAAGGGTTTGATCGGGGAGACTAAACCTCAACAAGGTGTGACAAGGATGATTTGGGAGGGAGAAGATTAAAACTGGTCAGATTGTGATACTGAAGAGGAGGTTCAGACACCAGTTGAAGAACCACCTAGTCATGTCACTCTTGTGGCCACTGCATCAAGTAACTAGGAAGAAGAGGAAGAGGAGGATGATCTGTCTACGGACAGTTTTGGGCTACCATCAATAGGGAACCTGGGGTTTGCCCATAGAGTAAGCAAAACACCAAGGTACTTGAACATCTATGACTGCAGCTGGGCTAACACAGACTGGTGGACATGATTGCTCTACCTGATGTTCCACTGATATTTGAAGAGGCAGTGGTTGATGAGAAGTGGATTGAGGCTATGAAACAAGAGATGGTGTCTATCAAGGATTATGACACCTGGATACTAACAGACTGTCCACCTGGTGTCATTCCACTTGGGTTAAAGTGGGTTTACAGGACAAAACCGAGGGAAGATGGAGAGATTGACAAGCACAAGGCCAGATTGGTGGTCAAGGGCTAGGCTCAGCAACATGGAATTGATTATATAGATGTCTTTGCACCTGTGGCAAGGTGGGACACCATCCGAACTCTTCTAGCTTTGGCTACTCACCATGGATATCCAGTTTTCTAGCTGGATGTAAAGAGTGTTTTTCTCTATGGTGAGCTTTCTGAGGATGTTTATGTTGAGCAACCACAAGGATTTGTGGTTGCCGGGGAGGAGAAAAAGGTTTACAAGCTTCAGAAAGCTCTCTATGGATTGAAGCAAGCACCTGGAGCCTGGTATAGCAGGACTGAGGCTTATTTCTTGAAAGCTAGGTTTGATAGAAGTACACATGAGCATACCTTGTTTGTTAAAAGGTCTGGAACTGATATACTGGTGGTAAGCATCTATGTTGACGATTTGATGTTTACTGCCAGCAGTGCTATTAGGATTGAGGACTTCAAGAAGTCAATGAAGGAGGAGTTTGCTATGACTGATCTAGGGAAGATTACATACTTCCTGGGGGTTGAAATCACTCGAAGTCATAGAGGCATTTTTATCAACCAGCAGAAGTACATAAAAGAGATCATGGAGAGATTCAGTTTGAGTTAGTTCAATTATGTGCACAATCCCCTTGTGTCTGGAGCAAAGCTAACTAAGGCTGGTGATGGGGTTCTAGTCAATCCAACTGATTACAAACAACTCATTGGAAGCCTTCTTTATGTTACAGCTACATGGCCAGATGTGATGCATTCTGTGTGTTTGTTAAGTAGGTACATGGAAGCACCAACAAGACAACATATGTTGGCAGCGAAAAGAATCCTAAGGTATATAAAGGGTACAGCTTAGCAAGGGATCTGGTACAAGATGGGACAGGACAAGGGTTGCTTGACTGGATACACAGACAGGGATTATGCTGGTGTCTGTGATGACAGGAAGAACACCAGTGGGTATGTGTTCTTCCTAGCTGGTGCTGCAGTTTCCTAGGCCTCCAAGAAGCAACCAGTGGTGACCTTGTCAACCACAGAGGCTGAATATGTTGCTGCATCGTATTGTGCTTCATAGTGTGTGTGGTTAAGAAAGATTCTGGAACAAATGGGATGGATGGAGTGCATTGAATCAGCAACAACAATCTGGTGTGACAGCAGTTCAACAATCAAGCTATCAAAGAACTATGTTCTTCATGGAAGGAGTAAGCATATTGACGTGAGGTTTCACTAACTAAGGGAGCTAGCAAATGGAGGAATTGTTGAACTGAAGCATTGCAGGACCCATGAACAGATTGCTGATGTGATGACAAAATCATTGAAATTGGATACTAATAAGTTGCTAAGAAGTGGACTTGGTGTGGTGGACATGTCAGAATTTACTTTTGGAAAATGAGGTTTCGAAGTGGTGAACTGAAACTTGCTAACCGGCTTCAGTTCAGGGGATGATTTGCTGGATGCATTGAGGCTGGATCATCATAGCAAAAGGCAGCAAGAGCAGCAACATAAGGCGGGAAGAACAAAAGTTTTTGATAGTTAAAGTGTTGATTTAAGACTGAGACTGTGTCATTTTGGTTTAGTGTGATTGACACGCTAAAACACAACACCAAACTGCGACCAAGTATAATCGCAGTCCGGGAATGCAGTAAAGTAGCAAGTTCTAATGTCAACCCGGGGTCTAGATCTACTGCCTACTCCGTGATTATCTATTATCTAGCAAACTAAGTCGAGTGATTGTTGTTTTAACTAAAAGCATTAAGAAAGCAGGATATGGTTCGGTTTTCTAAAGCAAAGGAAGAGTCACTCGGGAATGAGTCCCCCTAGCTCCTTAGTTAGGTCTCAATTGTAATTACCCTGGGTTGATTTACTGTTGATTAAACTGCGGAAGATCTGACAGTAGCTTGGAATCTCTTAAGCTGGCCAAGCCCTCTCAGTCCAACTACCCGGCAGGCGACTAACCTTCACCGAGATAGAAAGCTAAGGCTATGAACACAGAACTCCACTACCGGAATTGGATTCCAGTACAAAGCAGTAGATTGACTAACTCTCGTATAACCAATCTACTACTACCGAATGATGAAGCTCTAACAACCTAATCAGATTCTATCTATCTCAGGTTGCAGCAGAAATAAAAAAAAAGCTAATCAGACTTCAATTAATTCAATGAATCATGCATCATTTGATTATAATCAAATAGTACAACAATCCCAAGTCATTACAATCAAGATCTCTAACACATGGAACTAGGGTTCTTCATACCCAAGTGAGAGAAAGTTCTACTCCATAGAGAGAGAGGAGAAAACAGAATACAAAGCAGTCATACTCATAACAATGGGAAGAATCTGCTCTGTGATGATGATTTTCACTCCTATGATGATCTCCAAGCTTGATTTGATGAAACCCAACTCCAAAACCACTCTTAGGATGTGTTCTTCGCACTTTCTCTCTTTAGGGCTCTGTTTTTGCTCCAAAAAGTCGATTACCTCTCCTTTGGCTCGAAATTGGGTTAAAACCCAGCTTTTCTCGATCACACGGGCAGGCCACACGGCCGTGTGGCTTACCCAGCTGCCCGTGTGAGTGCCAAAATGCGGCGTTTCGAATAAATGGACTTCAGGCTACCTACACGGCCAGGGACACACGGTCGTGTACTCGTGTGGAATCTCCAGTATGCCCATGTGAAGCCTCGCTAAATCCCACACGGCCACATTGGTTCCTTGCACTGCCGTGTGGGTATTATGATTGCCCGTGTGGCCTCCTCAGCGTCTCGCCACACGTCTGATCTTCGTCCAATCGACCCCGAACTCGCTCCCAAACCTTCATTCACGTACTAGGACCTGAAATATCACAAACAAGAACAACCTAGCGTGAAATCGGCCTAAAACACGAGAATCAACATCTCAAACCGCTCAAGAATTGGGGTAAGAATATGTGCAATTAACGGTCTATCAGTGATTGAGACCTTGAGTCTGTAAATTGAGGCAATAAGGTCCCTGCGTGGATTGAGTCAAAAGGCAGCAAGTCAGTAGCTTAGCTGTCAAGTTAGTTGGCTTGTTTTAACGGTCGTGGGATTGAGGGTCTGTTAGTGGAAGCCTGGATTGTAGGCTGAAGCTGAGTACTTATTGTTGGTTTGATAGATTGAATAAAGTTTGCCAGTTTACCAACGTATTTGAGACTACAGTTTGCCCTAACCCTAATTCATTTTGTTGTAGCTTACTACGAGGTACTACTCGTTGTCCCTTTTCCTAGGGGTGGGCAACGGGACTAGATTGGGTACCCGTCCCGTTTGAAACGGGTATCCAATCCCATTTGGAGAAGAAATCATCCCACGTCCCAAACTCCGTACGGGTTAACGGGTACCCATTACCCATACGAGACGGATAACGGGTATCCGCGTGTACCCATTAATTTTTGTGATTTTCGTTATTTATGTTTTTATTGGCGGTAATACTGGCGTAGGAATTCAGTTTATTGAATTGAATTGTAATCAAGCTACTGCTACTGATTTATACAAAATGAATAGAGAAAATGGTGATCTTTCAACCGGTCCCATGCATGCAGTCGTAGGAATTCATTTTATTAAATTGAATTGGAATGAAGCTACTGCTTCTGATTTACACCTATAATGAAGGAAGACAATGGAGTTGTTGCAGTAATTGTTGTCCAATTAAGTAGGTGAAGGTTCGGTAGTATATGTTATCACGTATCACAGGGAATGCAGCGTATGTTCATTCATTGTTGTTTCAAATTAATGGCATGGGTGGACGGGTAGTACGGGTACCCGTAATACTCAAACGAGTATTAACGAGTAATTCATGGGTATCCATTGTAGAAGTTCTTGATCCCAAATCCCATCTCGTAAAAATAATTACGGATATTTGAGTACCCATAATCCTAAAAAACGAGACGGATATGAGTATACCTGAAAACCCATTTTTCTTTGCCCACCCCTGCCTTTTCCTATTTCCCACAGATAACGACGAGAAGAAAGAAAAATGTCGTTACCTTGTCGATGCATGAAATTAAAACATAGAGAATGGATCAGATGTAATATTCTTATTTTATGCACCATGTAGTGAAGGTCACCGATTATCATCATAACAAAAGGCAACGTCAAAGCGAGTAGTAATACTATTAGATCAATTACTCGTTCGTTATTCTCCATATATCCCATCTTATTGTAACTTTTATTTCCGGTTATAGAAAAAGGATTACATAGGTATAGTATTAACTAGTTTCATTATTTGTATCATTAATTAAACTTGTCACAACAATGCTTTTGAAATAAAAATTCAAATTTCAGAGTGCTTAAAATAAAATAAAAAAATATCACTTGTAGCTATTTCCCGCTTCGCATCTTACTACATGTAGTAAGATGCGAAGCGGGAAATAGCTGGCCACAGTAACAGTAGTTCAAGTTCACAGTTGCATGTGCTCTTCGTATAACATGATTACCTTAGAGTCGGAATCGCAAATAAGTGTTTGGCCTTGTGTAAAGTCAATCCAAAATTTTCTTCCATATCTAGTGTCTCTGGCTTTAACCCATCCGGCAACTTCCAATCAAATCCATGAACCAGCGAGCCCAACATCATATGTAACATTCTCAATGCCAACGGTTGTCCTGGACAGCTTCTTCTTCCAGAACCAAATGGAAGCAGCTCAAAACTGTTGTCCTTCCCATCAACCTTCGAATCCAAAAATCTTCCTGGGATGAAAGAGTTTGGATCTACCCATGTTGTCGAATCCCGACCTATAGCCCACACATTAACTAGAATTTGGGCAGCTTTGGGCACAGTAAAACCATGAATTTCCACATCTGTCGTTGCCTTGTGAGGAAGTAGTAGTGGAGTTGGTGGGTGTAGTCTAAAGGTTTCTTTCACTATTGCTTGCAAATATGGTAATCGATGGATATCCGATTCCTGAAGATGATTGTATTTTCCAATAATTTGGTCTAGTTCTATCTTGGCTTTAGTGAGTGTCTCAGAGTTGCGGAGTAGCTCTGTCATTGCCCATTCTAGTGTGCTTGTAGTTGAATCAGTACCAGCTACGAAGAGATCCTAATTAATTAAACCACAATTAGTCGGTAATGAAAAGAAAATAAAAATAAAAATAAAAAAGACCGACCAATCAATAAAAACTCATTTAGAATATTAGAGTTTATGGTTGATAAAAATGTTACTAATAAGTAATACTGCTATGTACGGGGTGCTTAACATTAACATGAGAGTGGATATGCACATATGGTGCTGAAACAATTGATAGCAATAGCATGGTACCAACACTTATTTTAAGGGTATTATGGTAACTATCTCTTTTTCTCCTCCCTTTCCTCCTCCCTATGTAGTTTCATAGTGATTCTATGTAAAAATTACAGTTTTGGTAACTGGAATTTATATATCCTGATATTTAATAACTAAAATGAATTTTTTTACAAATAAGTCTCGGAAATATGGGTGAAAATTACAAATAGTTACTGTTATGGTATGCTTTAAGAAACTTGTAATATGTTTTGATAAACATATATATACTTTAATGAACTTGTGATATGCTTCGCTTCTCCTTCCCTTCTTCCCACTTGTGATATGTTTTGATAACTTTGTGGTCTATAAATAAATATAAGGCAATGTCAAAGAAATTTTTTTTGCCACATCAGCCACAGTTCTCACTAGAGGTGGCAATTGGATCGGATTCGTGGATTCGTGGATCCATGGATAAAATGGATTGGATCCAATGGATTTGTGGATTCATGGATTGGTGGATTGATCCATGAATCCAAATAACATCCAAGGCTTGGACCAAAATGTAAATTTTGAAAACTTTAGGTACTAAATTGTCGTAATGAAAAAATTTAGGTACCAAAATGTAATTTTCCAATAATATTTTTCATATAAAAATATAAATTTTAGGTACCAAAATGTAAAATATAAAAAATATAGGAACCAAATCATAATTTGCCATTTGGATCAATGGATGGATCCATGAATCCACCAATCCAATTGGATTTGGATCAAATGGATTGGATTTAAATGGATTGGATTAGGTGGATAATTTGGTGGATGGATTGGATTGGATTCATGAATTTGGATCCTAATTGCCACCTCTAGTTCTCACTAAGGATGGGCATTTATGTATTTGTGCTTGGAGTAAAAAAACGGATTCTCTTCATAAAATAATATGGGGGGGGGGGGGAGATAACCAAACAAATTCTATTACTAATGGCGGAGAGATAAATTTTCATTGCTTTAATTACGGGAGGATAATAAAAGAAAAGAAAATACTAGAAAAAGGAAATATTAACGGAAAATATAATGAAATTAAATAAATATATATAAATTACTCCACGACGATGCAAAATAGTGAAATATATAAATCTAAACATGAATCATGTGCGCCTTTTTAAGAAAAAAAATTTGTAAACTCTTTTTTATTTAGTATTTATCAGTTTTACTCCTTCTATCGACAGTTCGACTATTTGGCGGCCAAAGGGTCAATGTTCATCGGCCATAAGAAAATCAAAGTGATGAATAAAACATTGATATTGTTAGTTTGTTGAAAGACGACATTAAAATATATGTATATAATACAAAAGGTATGCCGGCCAAAGGGGGTCAGACACCAGCTAGTATGTTTTAATGAACTTGTGGTATGCCTTCATAAAAAAAAAGAACTTGTGGTATGCTTTTAGAAACCTGTAGTATGTTTCCCCTCTCACCCTTTTCCATTGTGATATGCTTTGATAAACTTGTAATATGTTTTAATGAACTTATAGCGTGCTTTGATAAACTTGTATCATGCTTTAATGAAGGTGTGGTATGTTCTTAGGAACTTGTAGTATGTTTCATCTTTTCCCTTCCCACTTGTGTTTAATTAACTTGTGGTATGCTATAATCAAATTGTCGTATACTTTGATAAAATTGTGGTATGTTTGTCATTTCTCTTCCCCCTCCCTATTCCAATTTGTGGTATGCGTTGATAAACTTGTAGTATGTTTAATGAAATTGTGATATATTTTGATAAACTTGTGATATGTTTTATCTTCTCATTCCCTCCCCCTTCCCACTTGTGATTTGTTTGCTAAATTTGTGATATGTTTAATTAACTTGTGGTATGATTTGGTAAATTTGTGGTATGTTTTAATGAACATGTGATATGCTTTTAGAAACTAAATTTAGTAAATCTTAATACTTCGTGTCTTTTTTTTTTTTGTACAAGTTATGAAAATATACATGAAAGTTATCTTTTAGTACCTATTTTTCCTTACATTTTGATATATAAAATTTAAAATATTCAAAATAGGTCCTATATTATGTTATGCTTTAAGAAATTTGTGATATGCTTCATAGGATTTGGTATGCTTTAATAAATTTGTAGTGTGCTCTATGAGAATTGTGGTATGCTTACTTGTGGTGTGTTTCATGAGATATTTTTGCTTCATGTGGTTGTTATTTTTGTGGTGTGGTGACATTGTGGGGTCATTTCTAAGGTTTGTGATATGTGTGGTAGTCACCCACCCATTTCTCCAATTAATGCACCCTTTCCCCAAATTATTAACACATGTGAGTTTCCCTTCCGCAATTCTTAATTAATGACCACCATCCTCCTAAGTATCTTCCCTCATATTAATTGTGGTCAACTCTTTCAAATTAAAAAGTTATCTAAACGAAATGTTTCTATTAATTGGAATTAGTATTAGCGTCATCCTAAAAATAAATTGGAATTGCCCTAACCTTTTCCTATTAACACGATCACAACAACACTTGCAATATTATCGTGATACCTTTTCCCATAATCACTCTGTAATTAAAATCTCCATCTTATAGCTAAAAACAGTTTGGTTGATAATTAATGAAAGGAGAGTAAGAGTCAATTAGTCTCACCAAGAACAAGTATTTGATGCATAATGGATCCATTGTAGTAGCAGCCTCCTCGTGCTTGTTGTCATGATCATCAATATCTCCCATGGCCAGAAGCGTGTCGAGCATGTCGTTGGTCGAGACGTAGCTCTCCGACTTCAAATTTCGCAGCCGTTGGTCGATCACCCATTCGAACCAATTCAACATCTTTCTTGCATGACCCTCCGCCCGCCTTTGTATCCCTTGCAAGTCCAACCTCGCCACAACGGGGAAATAGTCTCCCAAATTGGGCTTCCCAATCTCTCCCAGCAGCTCCCTCACCAGATCCTTGAATTCCCTCGCGGTCCCAGATGACTTCTCCTCGTCCGCTAGATCCATCGAAAGAACGGTGGACGACAGAGCATTCAAACTGGCCTTGAACGCTGCCTTACCGACATCCAACGCCTCTCCGGGCCTTTCTTCGGCATGACGCCGGATACCTTCGAGGAGGTCGACAACCTTCACCCTCCTGTGGTCCTGGTTCATGTCTAGCTTCTGGGTTGTAAAGATGTACGAGTTGCACAGTTTCCTGAGGTTCCTCCACCTGGGGCCCACGGGAAGCGCCGGGATGGCGAATTTGTGGATGTCGAGGACTTGGGCGGCGGCGGGGACGTGGCGGTCGGAGAGGACCTTGTCGTGCTTTTGGAGAATCTCCCTGGCGGTGTCTGGGGAGGAGGCGACGATGGTTGTGACTCGGCCCAGCTGGAGGCTCATCAAGGGCCCGTGGATCTTGGCGAGCTGGGCCAGTGACTGGTGAGGCTTGTCGCCCAGCATGTGGAGGTTGCCGATTATTGGAAGCCGGGAGGGGCCCGGCGGGAGTTTGGCAGACGGAGGGTTTCTTGTCAGGAATCGGAGGAAGGTGAGGGTCAAGATGAGGCAGCTGAGGAGGAGGAAGAATAAGAAGTCCATTGTGAAAAAGAGAGGGAAGCTGTCCGGCTAGATTGGCTTCTGATAAAAGTCTATATTATTAAAACTTATTATTGAGTATGCAGATTATTTATAGGGATAATAGTATGGCGAATTGTTTCTTTATTTATTGAAACTTGCCCCGCTGATCTCTTCTGAGTTGGACCAGCCTGGCCGTCCGGTTTGGAATGATTTGGCATCGCCGGCCAAAATTAAAAGGATAGAAGCCGGAAAGAGTTTCCTGCACCGGTTACTCCTTTCCCTTGGAAAACGGCATCAGCATATGCCGAAAATGACAACATGTCCCGTCTCAGAATAAGAAGCAAATCCAGCACCGGCCATATAAAAAGGAATCGCATTGATAGATCATCATTAAAATTCAATATACACTCAGATGGCTCTAATTGATAAGTAAGAGAATCATAGTTGAATTCAAATTTATCGATTCAATTATGCATAGTTTATATTACATTGCGGTGCGTTCCAAACTATACCAAATTACATATCTATGAGGTTTGATTTGACCAAATCAATTAAATTGCGGTGCGGTACGATTTGTGTTGATGTTGCAAAGGCTAGCACACACATATATATAGTTCAGCCTAACGTATGCTTTAGAGTATGGTAGAAGTACTTAATTGACAAACATCAAAGTGGGGTATATGATCCCTTCTTTGGCACCACTTGTGTATAGTTGGCACATTTGTTGTCCAAAATGGGGTATATGATTCCTGTTAGGGTACGTGCTAAACGGTTCGGTTTCAGTTAACCACTAACCGATATGGTGGTTAGCTTTTAACCAATAAGAAAAAAACTCATACCGATAACCAAATCGATAAGCCCTATCGGTTAACCATCTATTATCGGTTCGATTTGCGGTTAGTTTGGCGGCTAACCAATAACAACTAAGATACTTTCCAACAACTACGGTTATACATAAACGACCTAAATATCAAATCAATAACTTCAATTTATCACTAAATATAGTAAACAGATGCAATAACCACTTGTAATACACAAATCATCATCCAATTAAGTTTAACAAGTGTCATTTAACATCATTTTCAATCCACAAACATAAGAATTACGAAGTGTACTAAATATTAAAGAGGAATAATCATACAAGTAATTCAAAATAAATTAATTACAGGTCTACATTATTCATCGTGAATTCCCAATGCATAAAATAAAAATTAATCAATACAATATTCATCGTGAATTCACAAATTCAATTCAATTCCCAATGCATAAAATAAAAATTTATCAAACTTATTCATCCAATTTGCAAGACATCAACTACAAGCACCACAAGATCATCATTGACAAACATCAAAGAGAAAACGATCACTAGGGTATGACGTTTGCTCTGTCGAATACAAAGACGAGTTAGAGAGAGGTGAATTTCGGGTTCTGACTCTTAAACACATTTGAGACTCTTGGTGGAAAGTTGTTTGCAATATTTGGGAATTGGGATGTTTGGATATTGCGATTTTTGTTTGTTTTGAATCTTGAAACTTTTCCATCAGCCAAATGTCCAAAACTATGTGGTTATACTAGTAAGCGGTTATCGGTTTTCTTATCGGTTAACCATTAACCGATTGGTTAGTTAGCGGTTAACCAATAAGCAAAATATCACTAACCAAAACCGAACCAATAAGAAGTTATCGATTATCGGTTAACCACTAACCGTCCTTATCGGTTCAGTAATCGGTTTTAATCGATAACCAACTAACCGTTGACCAGCCCTAATTCCTGCTTGTTATAGCTTCATCACCTCCTTCTTCACGACCTCTGTGAGGGGATTCAAACATTGTTGTGGTTGAACTAGTGGTTTATGATTGTCCTTGTGCATACAGAACGTTGGATCAATCCATTGAATGTTGGTGATTGTCCAGGCTATAACCTTCTTGTGATTTTTAGTAGTTCTACTAGTTGCTCCTTCTGCTCCTTAGACAGTGTTGAATTGATCGGGCAACTTTTCTCCATCAGCTAGGAATGCATATTATAGATTCCCTAGTAATGCCTTTAACTCCAGCTCAGGTGGCTCCCCGTAGGATGTCTTGAATTCCGCTAGACAAGTAGTCTCTATCATGGGTGTTTCTTGTTCATCCTCTCCTCGTGATCTACCTCTTCGTGTGGGGGTTGATCCAGCTCATGGAAGTATTCTCCTTCCCCGTACAGTAGGTAGTGCCCTAATAAATGGTCAGTCTTTATATCAGCAATGGAGAACATTGGTTCAGTTAATCTAATCCTCGGAAGTTTTACTCGTCCCATGTTGAGTAGTCGTGCTTGTGTTCTTTCCTCTAGTAAAAAATGGCAGCTTCGGTTCCCATTCTCAATGTCAGCTTCTAGTTGTGCACAACTATCAGAGCTCTTGCAGTTGCCTAGAAAGGTCTATGATGACACTTTATTATTGTCAATGCATTTCATTTTTCCCATTCATTTGATGGCTCGCATGCTAAACACGTACTTGTAGAACATTTTTAATATCCGTATTTAATGAATGAAATTGCTAACTTGACTATTATTTTATGTATTTATTTATTTTTAAAATAATTAATTTTATATATTATGACTATTGACGTACTATTGAGCATAAAATTAATTTAAAGACGAAGTAAAATACCCGTACAATATTTTACTAATGAAACTTAATTATTCCAACATAAGCTTCTTTCGTTTTTTGGAACTGAATTATTCCAACTTAATTGTTACAAATCTCTAAGCCATAAGAGGATTAGAATAGTCTAAAATAACAAATAATCTGCCGTAAACTAATTTGTTTTTTTTTATAATCTTGAATTCATTTATTAAATTTCGAAAAACAAAAAAGATAGTACGAAATTACAACTAAGCTATACACCGGGAATAGTAGCTACGTGCACCCCTGGCATACAGACCAACCAAAAGATAGTCCAAACTCTAAAGCGCTTTGATGAACTTTTTTACTTTTCTATTAAGATTTACTAATGAGTAAAAAGGGATTTTTTTTTACTAGATTGTACCCCGGCCCGTTGGCCGGTTGCAATATGATAACCCTAATTAACAAAACTTCAAAGTTTAAATTTCAGTAATATTCTTTTCTTTTACATTTGTTTCATGATTGTATTATATGTAAATGTCATGCGCATTAACAAACAATGATAGCATATTTACAAAATAGCAATACAATTTCTTAAGTTTTACCGTTGAGAAAGTCTAATTTTTCAATGGCTTGGTAAATAGAAAATGAGCATCCATAAGAACGATTACTAACATTGTAAATGGTGGATTTGTTGAAATTAAAAAGATAGAACTCAGGCAAGGGTATATAAACTTCTAATAAACTTAAGCATTAATATACATGTCTGGCCCGAACTTTTCCCATATTTAACATTCTGGCCAATCCTTTTCGCATTTAACATCGTGGCCCGAACTAATCCTACACTTTACTAATTTGGCCAAATCTAAGAGTTAAATGTTAGTTTTGACAGTCAAGACCGCTGACTAACGGTCAACTAGCCACGTTGCTGCCTAGTCAGCCTAAATAAACTTAAAAAAATCTTAAATTCCGCATAATCCTTAAAAATTATTATAATTAAATAAAAAATTAAAACAAAAATTGAATGCCATTTTCTATATGTGTGGTGATTTTATTTTCAATTTGTAAATCATAAATTATGTGGGAGTATCATGATCATTCTAACTTCTAAGTTAACTTTACGAAGATTTGAAGCTTAGTAAAAGTTCAATAAGCAAGGTAGGACCCACTTTTTTAACAATGTAACAAAATTTTGATGATCGGGATACGATTAGCTAGAAATTGTCACATAGATCGGGTCCAGTTATAGAATTGATAGTCCATAAATTCTATTGTATATATGACATTAAATGATGCTAGACTAATATATATTTTTCACTCCAAATATGTAAAAATGGATATAATTTTGTATAGTATAATTAATTTGATTTTTAGTTAAAAGATTACAAATTAAATTATCAAAAATGAAATATGATTAATTGAAAACTAATAGGGGAGTGGCAATGCATGTTGATTATACACCTAATATATTAATAAACTGATAATATTCAAAATTAGCTAAATGGATACAATAAAACAGAACTGCTAATAATAATCATTTGAATAAATATATATAGATGAATTTTACAATGCTTCATCTAGTTGGTGCTTTCATATGCACAAAAATATTTTATGCACAAATTGAACATATATCCTTAACGTTATAGTCAAATTCAGTTTATTTTTATACTTTTTCATGCAAATTCTTTTATAATGCAAACGGATCGTGTACCTTTAACATTATGGTACAGTTCTTTGTCAAAAAAATATTATGGTACGGTTTGACCTATATATTTTCATACATATTACTTTATGACACAAATTGAATTTGAACTTTAATGAATTAGGCAGGGATAATCAGTCCGGTTGCAAACACCAATAATTGAAGTATAGTAGATGATCTCATAATCAGTCCAGTTACATGAATCTCTTGATTTGGGTTCAAAAATTAGAGATTGGGTTTCACCCATTAGATGTTAGGGTATAATATTATACCCCAAACTTCAATTAAATCATGACTTAAATAGCAAAACGTGACTGATGTAATCTAACTTGAACCATATATATATACTTTAATTTTACTCAAGCTACACTATATATATAGCATAATAATTAAAAAGGAGTGGCTCTAAAAAGGAGTGGCTCTTTTCAATTGGAGACCCGATTAATTTTTTAATTCATAATTTGAATGTTTTCATCCCACCAAAATGACCAGAGTTCCCTAACTATGCGCATAAGCTAGGAAAAACTCAATTATATGGTTTCTCGCGCGGAACCTCTATACATTGTTTGTAGGATAGGAAGTAAACGACCTGCTTTTATTAATTAAATTGGATTTGGTACATGATTATCCTTGAGTATGAGAGTAACAAGAGAATTTGGTGGACTATCAATCCAAATCATCTCCCTCTCCCAACCACAATCCCAGTGGGCCAAACAAATG